ATGGACACATTTATGTTCAAACATGGTGTTCATTATGGACATACCATGACTAGAACAGGAGTTCAACAACAAAACAGTGCTTGGGTTCAGATCAGAGAGATTGTTCCTCTCTATGAAACATTGAACGGCTGTTTGGTGCATACTGGTACAAACAACAGTCAGAGCATGTCCCCATCCAAAAGTAACTTAGGGAAGCTACCTTTTCATCTACTGGGGAAAACTCCAAATGCACAGGTACCAAGCCCAGGAGCTATAGTAGACCCACACTCAGCACTTTACCCCATTCACTGTTTTAATTAGTCTCTTTGGTGAAATCATGCCCTGTTTCACTAAAATAGGGCAGCTGCATCAAATGGAACTGGTGAGTGGCAATATAAGATGCACACCATAAAACATAAATATAAAACAGGAGACAAAATAAATGAAACAGAATAAAATTTATTCTAAAAATACCAAAATATCATAGTAAAATATTTATAATATTCCTTTGTCAGCATATGTCCATTTTATTGAGCAGCAAAGCTTCAGAAAAGGCATCTGAGGAACACGTATGATTTTTTTTTTCAGAATTATCCATCTTTCTTCAGATTTATCACTATCAGTTGATAAGTTGAGAAGTTAGTGTGGTCTCACCTGTGTGGATTTTAGAAAACTCCTTTCATACCCTTGTTGTTAAATGTCACGGACATGCTGTCAGTTTGAATGGATACTTTAAAAATACATATATTCAACAGACAATTGAATTTCTATTAATAATTTCAAAGGCAAGTAAAAAAAAATCTCAGGCCTGAAGAGCACTGAGGTGATGCCTATTAATCCCTTTCCATCCGACAGCAGTGTTAAAAAAGGTAGAATTGTGAAATGACATGCCCCTAAAAAAACTGAATGAGCACACTTGAACGATTTCAACTACAGCTCCCTTCAACCATGCTTGTGGTTTTGAAAAGGAGGCGAATCTGGTGAATACTGTCTGCAGACTGACGCAAAGCCGAGTGGACAGGCAGGTAATAGGAGGCTGAGACGAGAAGGAAGAGACAGGCATGGTGCAATCATGAAAATGAATGCAAATGGAAGCAAAAGGGCAGCTATCGAAGGTCCAAGAGCATAAAGAAGGATGTAAGTATCAGAAGATCCATTCAAGGAGCAGAGAAGCTCTAGCTTTTACAAGTTTTAAACTAATGAATTTAAAACAAACAAGTATAACTACATACTTTTTATAGGTTGCCTTTTTTTGTTAAAGTCATGTGCAAGCATGAGTTAAAGTTACATTTTTGTCAATGTTCTTGTATTTTTTTATTTTTTTTTTTTGCATGTCCAATTTTAATAAGTTTTGAATACATTGGTCTGTTATAAAAAATGAAATGTGTAACGTCATGGCAACCACTGGTCAAAACAATGTGCACCATTAGACATTTACAAAAAAATAATAATAATAAAATAAAATAAAAAATCTGAATAATGTTACCGGTATATTAACTATGTCCTCCATAATATCCTGAAATTCAAAGTAATATATTATAGAAGTCCAAGAGAATGGATTTTACCTCATTAAACGATGATGTAGCAAAATAAATAAATAAAAATAAATCTATTAAACTTCTGCATTCCTCTTTTAATTCTATAAGTTCATTGCATCACCTTTCTGTCCTTTTAATCAGGATTGGCCTTTTGCCAAACTTCCATTTTTCTGTCCATCTTTGCTCCAATTTTCCCCTGAAGCATCATTCATGGCGTCAGCTTTGGTTATCGGTCTCCTCAGACTGATAAGAGTTTTAATATAAGTGAAAATATGACATCACAAAACCTGAACATCCTGCATCTCATTTAATAAATGATACAGTTATATCTCAAAATATGTCTTTGTACAAAAGTGGGTTATTTTCTTTATTGATGAATAAAGTGTTGATGAATACTGAGCTGGAAACAAAATCACTGCTTTTCCATTTGCTAAGTTGAAACCAAACTTGTGGATCTAAAGGATTAGTTGTTATGGTGTAGTTTGTTGTCTTATAGAAACTACTCCGACACTTTTAACTTATAAAGTGACTTTTGACATTTATCAGTAACTATTTGTACTCTAAAATACATCAACTTGTATGTATAAACACTAAAGGCAAGGGAAACATTTAATTGTTCAACATTTTTGAGATGCACATTTAAACATAAAGACAACACTAAGGTTTATTGAATGTGACTTGACATTTGTATTGAGTTTAGAGGGCCTCTTTATGAGTTAGAGTAGACAAAGGGCTCCTGGTGAAGAAGACAAGCATGCATTCAGAACTCCTCTGCCTCACCCTCCCATTAATTTGCCCTCTTTCCCTGCACCACAGGTTCTTGATGTCCTGCAGATTTGAACATCTCAGTTTGTGGTTTTCAGATTAATAAAACAGAATTAATGAATTTTACATAGAGCCTTCACAGTTGGGAGCAGGTTGTGCCTCATTACAGTCTGTATTATTGATCAGATTGAAGACCTCATGCTCCTCTGGAACTGAACTGCTATAGCCAGGCACCAACTCCCTTCATCTACACAAAGAGTATTAATTGCTCGGAGTAAAAGGAATGATCGCTAATCATGCATAGTTTTCAGACAAATCAGTCTGTAAAATGCCTGTCACTTGTTGTTAGTCGGGATAGTGGCATAGAGGTTAAACTGGAAGGAAATGTAATTGAAAGGTTGGTCGCTGGTTTAATCCCCTGGACCGACAACATCAAAATCTGGGTGGGAAAGATGAAGCACCTGCCTCTACCCTCCTTTGGCCCACTCTGAGCTCTTGAGCAAGGCCCTTAACCACCACCATCTGGTCCCCTGGGTGCCCTAAATGGCAGCTCTCTGCTCCACACAGAGGTTGTGGTAGCTCGGTGGTCTGTGGTTGCGTCAGGAAGTACATCCAGCATAAAAATAATTGCCAAGTCTTTGTGCGAGTTCATTCTCTGTGGTGACCACTGAAGAAGGGAGCAGCTGAAAGAAAACAAGTTAATAAAAGTTATGGTTAGGCTGTTATTAAAGATAAGGATGAAGGTTTAAAAAAAAAAAAAAACTAGATATGAAAGCTTTAACTCATACACGGCTCCATAAAAGGATGGATATGTTCTATTACAGCTCACAAAGAAAAACTGATATCAAAAATGAGAAAATATTAAAATGAATAGCATTTATTTAGAATATTTTCAAATATTAATTTAATTAATTTCAATATATAATTTCACATGATACAGAATACACACAAAAAATGCTCGCACATGTTTGTTAGACCAAAATAAAGAAATATTGATTAACTGCTGTTTGCAGTGAGGGATTTTTAATGCAATCCTTTAAGTAGTTTTAAACATTCAGTATGATCATTGGACAAATTAAAAAATATGTTC